TGCATACAAACCCTGGTCCATGGTGCCACACTGTAAACAGAGAAAACTAACGTTACTATATGTGGCAACGAAAACAATGGATTTACTCCCTGATTTACAGCACAAGACAATAAAAAACAAGGGTAAATCTTGAAGTGTGGAATTTGACCTTCAGGTCGCATTGTGGTGCTAACCAGACTGTCCAGCAATCGAGGAAGTTCTACTTTTCTGCAGTACTACAGAGGCACCCTAACCACAACCAATATGGAAGGTCATTAGCCAGAGCAGCACAAGTGGACTACAGCAATATTTTACTATATCCTATGTTCACAGGGTATGAAGGAGAAAAACTACTATCCAACAAACCAAATAGTTTTCTGATAAATTTTCAAAGGAAATCCCATGTCCTACAACAGCCAGGGTCTAACAGAAATCTGAGGTGAAAGTACCACAGTCAGTTCTAGGAGTTTTTTAAGACTCTGTGTTAAGTGTAGAGCTCTATCAATGTTATCCATTGCAAAGACATTTTTCCTTTGAAACTGAACACATTTTTAATCTGAAAACTGTACATCTGAAAACTGCACATCTGAAAACTGCTTTTCTGTTCCTTACAGAAAAGCATTCACTAACTTCATGGACAAGTTTCAATCACAAATAAACTAAGCAAAATAAGTGGAAGTTAATTTTAACATATTTGTGTTCAACTGAGGACCCAAAAGAGAAAGCTGCTTAATGCATGTGAATGTGTAAACATCCACAAGTTTACTCAGGCATATTTGGCATCAGAGAAGTAAAGCAGTACTTCACAACATTTATCAAATATTTGGGTGATGTGAAAAGTATACCCAAGTAATAATTTTCATTCTGTTTTACTGTATCATAAATAATGCCATGAATTACAGCATGAGCAAAATAACAGCATTCAAAACCCTACCAGTTGTTTTTTCATTATTGCCACGTCTTCAGTTTGAAATTATGTCATCATTCCAAATCCAAAAATGTTAAAAAAAAATCAAGAAAGTAATTTCATAATGAGAAATCAGATGATGAGGAAAGACAAATAAGCAAGGAAACAATTACTTGCTCTTTATGTCAGACCAATGAAAAAAATAAACCATGCCAGAGAAGAATTTCTTTGAATCTATCAAGCAGGAAGGATTCCAGCTGAACACTCATGGTACACTGAAATTCAAATGGTCCTTGATCTTAGACATTGCCCTGCCTAAAGAGAAAAGCAGTGATCTCTGAAGAAAAACAATGTTCCTCAAAACTGCAACTCCCATAGTATTCTAATATGGAAATATTTCATTAATATAAATCAGCCTTGGAAATACAATGTCTGATGTAACTGTAACTACAGAGTAGTAGCCTTCCTGAAGATTCCTTCACATCGTATAATTCTCTCTGTTACTACTGAGTGGGTGAATAATCTGAGGATAAACGTACGTCTGCTACTACACAGACAGAACTTCTGATACTTGATCATAAGGACCCTATAAAAGAAAAATCCTTTTTTCTGGGAAGGAAATCAGTGACTAAGTCAAGGAATATATCCCACCTATGTGAAGTGTAGTCTAAAGCACCAACATCATCACTGCTGCAGTTAAAGAGCCAGAAGTCTGATCTTCCTAAGCACTTCTATTGTTTTAGGTTCCTTTAGGTGTTAGGCTAGTGCAAGACAGGGCTTTATTAACCATGAACCATAAAGCCTTTTGAGAAAATCTCATGTAAAAGATTATCCCTCTCCCACGTATCTATACCTGAAAATTAGGGTTAGGATTGGGATATGGAAGCCAAGCAGATCGGGAGTTTTCCTGGTATTTGAAGGGTCCATTAAAAGCCTGAGTTATGGCACTCAGATTGAAAACACAAACTGCTGATGCTGCTATGCTGTTCCTGCAAAAGAAACATAAATATTAATCTAAATAACAACATTAAGTCAACTTGCTGAAAAATAAATAGAAAAGGCAGTAACTCTTCAATCCTTCAAGTAATAAACCAAGCAGATAAGATTAGCCAGGAGATGATATCTCAAGACAATGGTAGATGATGAGCTGATTTAGCACAGATATCACATTTAAAATATTTGTTGGCCTTACCAAGTAGCTGGTGTGAACTTAGAATTTCCTATCTTCTGCTGCTGCTCTGATACCACAAGGCTATACTACCACACATAATCACATGCACTAGGGACATCTCTTTTCTAGTTACAAAGTTCAGGATGATATTACTCCTAGGGCTCATTAATGTTTCTTCTTTACAACAGACATGAAACAAGGTAAGGATTTATTCAGTGTCTCTAGACCTTATGGAACCCCAGACAGCTCCACAAAAATCCTGTCTTCCAAGAGACGTTGTACAGCAACAAGTATGCAAGTTCAGAAATCCATCAAGAGAAAACAACTTGGACTGCGTACAAGATATCTTGTTAAACAAAAAACTACAAATAAATGGCAGCCAGACAAAACATAAAATTTCTGTGTTTGCCTTCAAAATGTGATATACATGGCAATAAAGTAATTCTGCATAGTGTAAAGAATATAATCTAATGAATATGAGAGCTTGTAATATGAGAACCAGCATTGTTCTCTTCCACATTTTGAAATAAATTTGCAGGTAAAACTGCAGACAACTGATCCACACAACTTTCTTCTTTTTTTTTTTATTTTTTTTTATTTTTCTTTTTATTTACACTTTGCCTGTACTTTACACAAGGCTTAAGAAAGCATACTATAGAAACTCCAAAATGATGGCAAAAAAACCCATGCAAACAACAACACCTGGAGGCTCAAATCTACCAGCAAGTGAAAAAAAGTTAGGATATATGGATTAAATACCAGGATAAAAGAGTAATTTGCTTTCTTATGCTTGTCATTCTTATTTCAAAGAAACGCCAAAACTTGAAATTTCCCGCTAACAATATCTGCAGAATCAATTATCATTGGATTTAATATGACTTGCCTATACAAGCTATCACTAAATGCAGCTCAGTAATATTATTGTATATTAACCATATGAAGATCTTCTTGAATTTCTTGAAGTCCTTAAAGGACATTAGACTCATGCTTATAGATTTTTCAGATATGAAAGAAACAAAATCAGCTTCATTATGAAGCAGTGGCTATAGTGAACTTAATCATCAACCACACAGAAAAGGTGCAGCGTTGGCTGTTACTCAGTGTTTATTGACAGAAATGTTTCATTTTTTCCCTCCACAAGTATATTAAATATATGAAAAAAAATAATTAGAGTACAATAAAGTCATTGCAATTCTAAAGGTATTGAGATTGAAGAATGCTGAATGTGGTTAAGTAATATCTGATGCTGTTACACCAAGAGATAGGAGTATGTTGCTCCCCATCATGGGAAACCATGGCGTTTCTCCAGTTGTAGTGCTGAAAGGTGGATCAGATGGGTTCCACAGATTATTTGTGAACAGGGAGTCAGCATGGGGAACTAATCCTAACTCTACAACATTTCAACAATGTTCAAAAATTTACTTACAATATTCGATGTCAGGAACAAATATAATTTAAATGGAGCTACCAAAAAAACCCACTCTCAAATAGTTGTAATTAATTCTTCTTTGAATCTCTATTGGACAGTCAGAATGATGGGCCACCAGGGAAGAAGGAATTAGTACCAAGATTTCAAATACTGTCTACTTTCATGTGGCAAAGGTAGTCTTAACATCAGCAAGTCCATTTTCAGAAGAGCCAAGGAGCATCAGGAACATCGTTCCCCTTCCATGGCCAAAGCCCTGTGGATTTTCTGCAGCAGAATTCCTCTGGTCAAACTTTTCATGACAGAAACATCTCAATGCTATTTAGATTTCTCATGAAAGATCATGTTGAACAGTGTGTATGTATGCCATCTGAGAAATACCTGTCTTTTACTATTTGAACTATCTAGTAAAACAGATCAATGAAATTAAAATTACTGATAAAAACATCATCAAATTTTCTTGTCCTCAGTCATCTCAAAATCTTCACTATTCTCTTTATAAAAGTGGTTTTTAAATTCACTAGATTGCTCCATTGCAGGAACAGGTTGAGCTCATCATCTAATGTCACAAGTTAGGAATTGTCAGAGCTGAATGTAGGCAGCCCATCTTGTTCACAGCCTGAGCTGCTGGCCCAGGGGTGAGCATGAATCTGGAAGATGCCTAAATGTATTGATAAAAGACTGCACCAAAAGCCCAAATTCATGCTCACTGTCTAGAATATGTAGGGATAATAATTTGTTGACATTAATTTGTGACTGTTTCCACCTGATTAATGGATATTTATAAAAGGTAGGTATCCCATTGTTTAAGGGGCCCAGCCTGTGTTTTAGATGCCCAAGGAACTTCTAAAATTCTAGACAAAACTGACTTACACAGAAGACACTACAAGACGGTAAGAGAATCAGAACCCAAAATCGGAAACTTTGTTCCAATGGTTTGAATACTGGGCTGCAGAGCCATAACACAGAGGCTGCTCTCACTGAGCAACAGATGAACTCCAGGTATCATGTTAAAGTAAAAAAGGAAATTTCTGAGACAAATGCCTTTTTTTTTTTTCTTAAGAGTTAAGCAGCTCTTGGTATCAAGCTCAGAGTCCAGGGAGCTCGATTTTGACCCAATTTTTTAACATTTAACAAATTTTAAGACCAAACTGAATTTTTTTTCAATTTTATCAACCTTGCCGATACAACAGGTTCAGTTAAAATTAGAATAAATTCTTGTTTTGACCCTTAAACTCACTAAAGTAAATGTAAGGACTAATTAAAATATATAAGAGCACTTCTTGTCTTATTTTGGGTGTGTTCTTCCTGACATGATCAAATTCCATCATGTCAAATTCATGATCATGTCACATGACAATTATAAGATACTTATTTCATAAGTACATTATGCAATAGTATGCAAAAGAAATATTAATGCCTTTCTAAGAATAAATGAATATGATGACAGAATACTCTTAAACACAACTGGCTCCCTGCTGTAAGGAAACATGAAGAATTCCTCCTTCTCTCATTTCTTCAGCAATTCATGTGGGAAACATTTGGAACTGCCACTTGTTCATAAGAGGACAGTGGATTGGGCAAAACAAGTTTGAATTTATAATGTTTACTCGGCATATGCAGAAGAGAGTAGCTCAGAGATTTAAGTTCATGCTGTCACAAATAGCAAGAAAATAAAATATATAATTTATTTTACTTACACATTAGTGGTAAAAATTCCATAGATTAAGTCTAATTCCGGCAGGAAGAAAGTGCTCTGAAGTTCATTATAGTAAAATGGAATTTCTCCAGGGCGAGAGCAGTTCAGACGAGCTTTCATGAAGGTAGTCCAGGTATCCTCCAGCACAAATTTGCCACCAATATCATTTTTGCACACCCGAGCAGCACGAGAGAATACCGTTTTCCCACAGTCATGTTCCACCGCATTCTCCCGGAAGAAGAAGTAAGTAAAGTTCCCAATGTCATAAGATGATACAAAATTTGGCTCTGAAAATAACAGAAGAAAAGATCATTTATCACCTTCTTGTGATATATGCGCTTACATTAACATGGAAGTTGGATTTATCTTCAAATATTAGATTTAGAAAAACACACTTTTTTATTATCCTTTAGGGAACTGGCACAATGACATCTGAACAGGACAATTCATGTCCAGCCACGATTATAAGCTACATGATCATAGTGTGCTGGGTTTGGCTGGGTAGAGTTAATTTTTTTTCATGGTAGCTAGCATGGCACTCTGTTTTGGATTTATGCTGGAAACAGTGTTGATAATTAGGGGATGTTTCTGTTATTGTTGAGCAGCACTTACACAGAGCCAAGGCCTTTTGTTTCTTACACCACCCCAACTGCACAAAAAGCCTGCTGAGTTGCCAGCTGTGGTTTAAAACACAACATGTGGCATGACAGACTCTCTGCTCTTACAGGTCTGTAGAACATGACTCTGCTGGACAACCTTGGCCCAGCTTGCTGTGCTTTACCATCAAAAAGGTCACTGAATTCCTCTTCTCTACACATGGGCATAGTGTATTTTTGCAATGTAACTGTTTTATCAGTTAACTCTGTTTCTGCTTTACCAACACGCCATTACTCCAGGTTAGGAGAATAATGGGCGCGAACTGATTGTGAGTGAAAATGTACTCAGAGGATGTAATGAAAAGAGAACTACACAAAAACATTTTATGGAAAGATAACTGCATTTCAACCCTATCTTGCTTAAAGCTTTTGATAGTATTACAGTATTTTTTTTTTCTTTCTTAAAAAAAAAAAAAAAAACCAAACTGATGGTGATGAAGGAGAAATCAGAGAATATGTAAAAAAATAATCTGGAAAACAACAGATGGCAATATTTCTTAAAAGAAAAAAAAAGGAAACAGTAAATACCAAAGACAATAAACACGTGGTCCATTTCCTGTAAGGTTTGCTAGAACTGAGGAAAGTCCATGACCTTAAGACAAATTGGCAAACTGATGAGTTATTAAAGGAAAGACAAATTTGATACACAGATTTGTCAAGAAGAGCCCTCTTTGTGTAAGGAACCATTATAGAACACTGATACCAGCGAGAAACAAGCAAACTTTTTATTCGCATTCCCAAATTGGATTCTAAAATGGGAAAAACAAATAAACAAAACTGTTTTTAAAACATCTATTGGGAGGAAACACTCCAAAGAAATTTAATAGGTGAATATTTCTTGACAGCACTATTGCATAGGAAAAAGCTGCTGCAATTAGGTCTAAGCATTTTACAGGAATAGCTCAAACCTGTCAGAAGTTTTGAGGGGTGTTAGAAAGGGAAGCAAGCTGGCCTTTCCACACTGCATTCCAAACTCTGTTAGAAAACTCTTCTCCAAAGACAGCCCAGCTCCCAGCTCTTGTGGCCTCTTGTGCTGCTTCCCTCTCTACCTGCTGTGCTGAGTCTCCAAGGCAGGTTTTTTGGCAGCAATTATCAGCCACCTCGGATGTTTGAAGCTGAGCAGATACAATAGTGCTCTCACTCCTCCCTGTAACTTTCATTCATTATATCGAGTACTTCCTTGGGATTAGTATGTAACATACCACATTTTCCCCACACTCTAATCTGCACAGGTTTGACAGGACTTGTGATAGCATTAAAGATAAAACTGGATTGACAATATGACAATATACAAAGAACTAAACTACTAAACTATTAGTAATGTTATCCTTATTAGAACCTCGTATCTTCACATCTGTGTCAAACTTTCATTACAATAGGGATTTTGCTTCAAGGGCTTCAAAAACCTTTAAATTATATATAATCTAGAATACGTAGTTTGGTAGAAATAATTCTTAGCTGCTCATGAGCTCTTATTCTTTAAACATAAAATTTACTGTTGTAACACACAGACTGAACACTCAAATTGTAGAAAGCTGAAAAAAAAGACATTTTTTAACTTTGTTAATTTTTTTTTCTCTAGAAACATGCAATTTTCTGAATAGGTAACTGGGTAGAAAGACATCTAAGATTTAATTAAAAGTATTAAGACTAAGATGACAAAAATATGTGGCTAAAAATCCCAAAATTGTATACTATCACATTCTAGTCAGGTTAGACAGTTTTGACAGGCATCAAATACTAAGCATATAACCAGAGATACTTGAACGCAAAGGTTTTTTTCATGTTATAAATCCCAATTATGTGTCATTCATTCTCAATACGCATCAACATTTGAAGCTTTGTGTAACAAACTTATATTTACTTAACTAAAATACACTAGGAAAAAATTAATTTTAGAAATACCAGACTAACAAAAGACTCCAAAAATCCAAAAGAAAAAAAAACACTTTCCCTTATTATCCATCTTGTTATTCAATTATATTTATACAACACAAACACCTACCCATTATTTCTCTTATCTGAAATGTACTTTCTTTCCTCGTTCTACACAATATCCTTTCAGATTGGTCTTACAGTCATAAAAGTAACTACTGTCTGCGGAGGAAAGAAAAAGCATTCACTAGTCTCAGTGTAACTTGGGCTACCTGTCCACATACTAAGTATGTATCTTACGTAAAGCAATATCAACTAAAGGTAGAAACCAAGAAAAACAATAGACTTGAAATAGCATTAAAAAAGTAAATATTTCTGACTATATGTTTGACCTTTGGTAGCCAATAGCCCTGCTTGGTCTTTCAGATTATCTCAGAAATATCTTGACTGATGTAAAAAGATTCTACTTACTGTGCAAATACTCAAAATCAATCTGATCCTCCCACAAAAATATTTTGTTTCAAGTATTAGACAAGGAGGCCCTTTCTTGCAATCAGGCCTGAAGATACTTCTCACTGGAGGCCCATTGATATAAAAAGGTCTCTACATTGGCACAACAGGATCTCACTGCAGAGTGAAAAAAAAACACTACGGGAAGCACTCAGTGTGGAGAATGATGAATGACCAAAAAAAGGAACTTCACAAAATGTAATAATAAAAATAATGTGGCATGCTTTAGAATGTTTCTGGGGTTCTTGAAAGTCCATGCCAATCTTTCAAAAGACAGTATTTTAAAGTTGCACTGATAATCATGATACACGTATAAAAAATACCTAGTACTCATATTTCATGGATTCAAAACTAAGAAACAATATATACATCTGCAAACACCTATGTATATACTTTATTGATTAAAAACTGATGAAAATGTGACCTGCTGTTGAAATTTGTGAAAACTGCTTTTATTTGCATGAAATGTAATAATCTGAAAGTTACCTCAGGGAATTCAGCGGATATGGAAGGATTATCAGGTCAGACTTTATTTATTTCATTCCCTCTTTGGGAGAAAGGAACCGGATCACTTCAAAACTTTAAAGGAAAAAAGAACTCCTCATCTAAGAAAAATCAGTTCTTATGTGTCCAATATTGTTCTGTGAACTGCTGTTTGGAGACATGGAGGCCTTCCCATAAAAGCTTTTAATGCAGCAAATGAAGTGACTCTCTTGTTTCCTGCTGATTTTGCAAATAGTTCTGGAAGGGTAAACACACCTCATTTCTGAATTATTAGATCACCACAACAAGTGCAAGAATTCTGGTATGTGACAGGATACAGCTAGTATGGGAATGTCAACCTGTAATAATGTCACAAGTATTGTATATGACCTTTATAGGTTTTTATATACTCAATTTATGGCTGTGTCAGGCTAACTAGACTTTCCCAAATTAAATGAAACCAATGGAATCAGGAAAGCAAGAAAATGAGTTTGTCAGTGTGACCTAACAAAGATCACCACAGTACAGCATGAAGCAGTGCTACACAGAGACACAAGCCCATGCATCGAAAGCACTGGGTGGCTAGTTAGTGCTGCCTCTGGGCAAAGAGACTAGTGTGGCATTTCATAAATCTGCTTACTCAGCACAGAATTCCTTCATAAAGCAGTATGAATGCCCTGTAAGGATGTTTCCCCACAGACTCTTCTAAGTTATGACTTAGAAAAAGAAAACTCAATCATATGAAGTCAAGACAGTGCTTCCATCTAAAATAATCTGATTGTTTTTCTGAAGTGTGGAGAAAAACCTACATTTTCTGGGGAGCACAGTCTTTGTTCTTAATGGGAAGGCTTTACTAGGATAAGACGATGATTCCCTTTAGATTATTTTTCCTTTCCACTCACCCAGAGAACCTGGAAACCAGAGAGACCAAATCCATACTCACTGCCAGAGCAGTCACAAGTTGATGCTGTCTGACTGTGCCAACTGCTCCCATAGGGACTGGCTGCAGCTCTGCCATGCAGCACGTGCTGATGCTGCACCCCAGACAATGATATTCTTATGGCATGAAAGTAATGGTGCACTGCACTGGGAAGCAGTATAAGGACAGACTGGGGAATTTGGGAATGCAATTTACTGGGAATAGAATGGGGCTCTCTGAGAGGCAGCAGAAGACAAATGGTACAGCTCCATCTGTACAGACTCTTGATAATGGTATGGAAAGCAAACTTCTCCCTGAGTCACACCCAGGTTTTCACTGGGAAAACAGTAGCTGGAGGGATCTAAACAAGTCTGGGAAGTGAGCCAACAATTAAGCAATACAGATGTCTAAAGGTGTCATACATAAGCTTATTTCCCAGACCTTTTTTATTTAGCAGTGTAGAAGCACTCTGAGCAGGTAAAAGGATGAGAGGAACTGTACAGGAACTTCTTCTGTGTAAAGAAATTGGAAACAGGAACCTAAAATTGCTCCATGAGAGCATCTGAGGTCGTCCTGGCCTATTCTCACTGTCTGAGCTTTGAAGCAAGGAAGTTTGCTTGTGTTTTTTTAATCCATATAACCCCTCAACCTCTGAAGCACACTAAGATGACTTAATTTACATAGTTAGTGCATGTTTCTGTTTCCAGAGTGAACCAAATGACATGAATGAACTGTCTTAATTTATGGAGGTAACAGCAATTAACCTTAAGGATTACAAGGTCCAAAACTTACTCTAAGCAAGAAAGAGCTGTGATTTCCAAGACTGTGTTTGTGAGATGTGACCACTCACTTCTGAAGTGCAAGGCATTCAGAGACTCAGTCAAAATTAACCACAAAAATATGAAAATAAAGATAAAATTTGAAGTTTGTCAGATTAGACAGAGATTTTACATATCTATATCTATCTCTCTCTCTATATATATATATGTTTATCTCCAAAATAAGACACACCTCCATAGATACATGAATGCATAATATACTCGAAATCTTAGAAGTCTAGATACTGGTCTAACATTGACTGACATCTATCAGGAACTTGTTCACTGACCTCAAGAGATCAATGAATCACACCACACTCTTGACATCTAAAGACCTATTTCTTCCAAATATTTGTGTTCAGCCAAATGCTTAATGGCTTTCAATTCTAGGAAGATGCATTTCAGTTTTTTTGAATAAATTTCAGCTTTCAGCTAGAAATGCTCTCCAAAAGGGAAGCTTCAAGTAAAGGAAAGAAATTAAAATCCAAATGTGCCAGTCTCTTTTATTTTCTCTCACTTTATTGACATAGTTAATGAAGAAGAGTTGCTATTTGCATTTTGTC